CTTTTTACACACTTAGTCTGTATTTGTTATCTCAAAAAACATTTCTTTCTTTACATACCAAATGTTTTGCATTATTTTGTATAAAAATACAATGATTTGGCAATAATATTGGGTGGAAGGGCTACCGCCCAAAGTCAAGTTAGCTTCTACCCACACGACCCAAGGTATCCAAATCATAATTAATGTTGGACTGGTAAAATTTATTTAAAAAATACAAAAAATTTAAATTTTCAATAGTAATTAACTTTTTCTTTAAAAAAACCCCTAGATTTCTAATGTATTAAAGAGTGTTACAGACGCCCTTCTAACACCCCGCATTCATCTTTTATGAATTCTTATTCTCCAGTTTAAGACCTTTTTTTTGATACCGAGGTTTATGAATTTTGATAATAATTTACAAAAATTCGACACTTAAAACGCCATAACTCTTCGTAGAATTAATCAATTTTGATAATTTTTCCATCTTTAAAATACTGAAATGGAGCTCTTTCCAATAATATACAACAATCTAGTATTTGATCAATTTAAAATTTCACATACCTATTATGTATGTAATACTATATTATTATATATTAATAATATTTATTAAATACCCTAACATTTGTGCAACAATAATTATGAGGTATCTTTATTAATAAAGAGAGATAGAAATATCAAAAATTTAGCTTCTTAATTATTATTTTATTATTAGTTTTAGTTATATTTAGACCTGTTGTCTTAATTTTATTATATGTTTTAAAAAAGACTTAGTCATCATTTTTTCATTCATCATTGCATTTTTGTTGTTGGTACTAAAAGATTGTAACACGGGGAGATTGTGGCAACAGCTGCCAAGACAGATTGAAGCACGTGGTACAGATTGTAACACGTTTTCTGAGAAGGGGCATTGTTATACATTTTCATTCATGGCTGAAAATGTAACATTTAAAAGGTAATTTTTCATTCAGCTTAAATATAAAAGTGAGTATAAAATACGTGGCAGTTGTTTTAACACAAATAATTTGCTATTATTATCATTAATGTCAGTACAGGTTAAAAAAGTCATTATAGAATAACATTTATATTTTTGTCTTATAAAGATGTGGCAAAAGAAAAAACTGTTCCAAATTAGCAAACCATCAATCAAAATGTGACGCCAAATATACAGCTAATCAATCATTTTGGAAATATTCACCTATTCAACAACAATTACATTCAGATAATTTGTCACAAAAAATTCGAGTACTTTCCCAACTTAATGAAATTAAAGGTTAGTAATACGGTTAGTGACAATTATGTAGGGTTTTTTAATCTAGTGCGTGTGCCTGTGTGCGTACAAGTGTGAATAGATTAATATAATGATAATTTTATTCTAGATTTTTGTTTTGCGGTTGTGCATTACAGTTAATTATAATAATTTTCATCGTTAACTTTCATACACAAAAGTAAACATAGCATATTTTTTAAATCGGTTTAAATCTAGCGTTATTTAAATTTTTTTTTGTATTTTAGAGTATGTTTATAATTAATTTAATTTTTTTAGTATCACAGACAGAGCAATTAATTGATGATATTGTGAAACTCAAAGAAGATAAAAACGTTATTCAACAAAGTGTTGATGCTGCCTTAAATAAACAAGCAGAGATTGAAAAAGAGTTGAATGTTTTGAACACCCAATATGAAAAAGTTAAGCTACTGATTGACCAAAAGCAATATGCAAGAACAAAACGATCAAAGAATCCAACAACAGACATTATGATTAATGATACAGCATGTTCAACAAAATATCGGAGAAGAGATGAGTCACGTAATATTATGGAGTTTATTCATGGTGGCAGTGATGGTGCTATTTATGGTGCGTGGGATCTTCTATGTTATATTACTCCAATAAAATTGATGGAGCAGTTTACAGCAAATTACAAACGAGGAAAGTTCCTTGAAAATTTATGTGGATCAATTTCAAATAGCTATGTCAAAAGTAAAACTGGTTTAAACAAAGCAGTTGCCTTGAAATATATTAATTTTTTATCACAACGTAAGTACAATATGATATGCAAAGTCCAAAAATCCACATTTTCAGACAATTTTTCAAATATTTCCTCTGTAAATTCAGTTCAATACGGCAATGTCAACTATGAATTGAACATGTCAAATGTTTCAAATGCAAACATTGAAAAGTTTGTTAAGTCATTGGATATCGGGGAAATCCATCAAATTCCAGGCTATAGTGGAGTCTCAAGAACAGTGACTGCATTAGTAACAATGATAGCTGATTTAAATTTAAAAGTGAAAGTCCTAAACGAAAAACTTGTTTGGTTTAATGGTAACATTAACCATTTTGTTGTTGAGTTTTCTGATGATGGAGCTCCAGAGTCTCAAGAAAAAACCATGACGATTGGGACTTTATCAATGTGGAATTTTGGCAATCGCATCCGCAGTAGGGAGTTTCATTATCCACTACATATGATAACAGCCAGTGAAAAAGATAAAGTGTGTGAACTGTTGTGGAAGCAGCATTCCGAAGAAATGGAGTTGATTGAAAGCAATGTCTTTAACATCAATAACATTAAAACAACTTTTGAATTTGTGCCTTCAGCCGATATTTCATGGTTGTGTTTTGCTGCGAATGTGTTACCAACAAGTGCAACTTATCCTTCTCCATTTGCTAACGTGCATAAAAGTGAGTTAACACATCGAAATAAAACTATTGGAGGTGCTGAGGCAACATGGCAGGTGCCAACCATGGATACACGACTGAAGGAATTAACAATCCTAAAAAAGTTTGAAAATACACAAAATGTGAATGCTTCAGAATCCGCAAGACATAGCGAAAAGTTAAATTTTATGGCAGAAAACGGAATCCGTCAACTTGGGGAACCTCATATTGGAAAATTTGCTGATTTGATTCGCCCAGAACCACTTCATTTAGAGATAAATAATTGGCAACACGTTCTTGATTTAATTTATAAAGAATCAGTTCGCCGTGGAGTTTTTGACCAATTTATAGATGCTTTAAGTAACCCACCTAAAGAATCAGATGAATTAGGGTGTGGTTTAAAGTTTCTTGCTAAGAATATTAGAAAACATTATGAAAATGAAAGTAAAAAATTGAACAAGTTAGAAACAAGGTTAATTGGTGCTCAAGCGATTGCATTAGCTCAATATAGTTTTCGTTTGGTAGATATTTTACAGGTTGCTAATGAAAGTAGTATCGAGAAACTTAAAAGAGCTGCCTTGGCTAAGATATGTGAATCTTTGCGTGATGCTGGAGTTTTAATCAACAAGTTTAATTTTACATCAGAAAATTATCCGGCAGAGGTGTCTAAGTACTGCAGCACTTATTTTAAATTATTTTCATTGTTTTTTCCAGAAAGCTGTCAAAGTACGGTATGGACAATGGGATACGTTGTACCGTATCATGCATTGGAAATATATAAAAAATATCATGTTGGCTATGGAGTTTTATCTATGCAGGGAAAAGAATCTAGCCATTCATCTATAAAACAGCAACTTAGAAATAACACCAATCGATCAGTTTCATATGACGAGCAAGGAAAATGGCATCAACTGATGAGATCTAATTTTGTAAGAAACTTTTATCTCCCTTATCATTTCCCTATAAACATCACTTATCACTCACACTACAAATCAAGAGTACCAGCTGACTTAAACAGCGAATCAATATGTCATTGTTCACGACAACTTATTACAGAACAACTTTGTGAATGTTGCATTTTTGCAGTTCCATTAATGCAATGTGTTGAGAAAGGGGAACTAACCGAAGACGTTTTGGCTATTTTAAAACCATACCTATGTCAAATTTGCAATGAACAATTTGCTGACAAAAACAAACTTTTTAAACACTTAACAGCACACACTAACAAACAAGTAGTCAATATTATTCCAAGAGACCTTTCATTAAAACAGTTAAAAGATGAATTGAGACTACGTAGTAAAAGTATTAGTGGAAACAAGGCGGAGTTAACTAGGAGATTGGAGGGTTTTTTAACTAAATAAATTATTTTATATATAAGATATTGTGTTTTGTTACAACAACGTCCAAAATGCTAAAATGTTAGATAAATGTAATAAATATGAAATTATATATATTTTTTAATGCCCCTCCTAAATAAACATCCGTTTTCCGTTCTCAGTCTTTAATCCAAAATTGTTTTGCTTTTGCAATTAACTTTTTTATTATATTAATTTTTACCTTCGTCGATAAAAGACGTCACCATTTTCCAGGCAAATTTTTACCCTTCCTTTGTTATGACTGTCCTTTTTTCCTTTACCTCCCCCCCCCCCCTCCTGAAAAGAATGTCATAAAAAATCACACGTTTACATAGTTTTCCGTATTAAAATTGAAATAAAAAATCTTTAAAGTGACGTCCTATTCTGACAAACTACACCCCCTCCCCTTTATCCCTTTTTGTCTTAACACCTTCTTCCCCCGCCCCCTTCCTACTTGCACGCCGTAACAAATTGGGTCACCATAATTTGGCAAATGTAACCAAGAGGTCGGGGCATCGGAAAGGTGGGGAACCGCTGACATAGGATACTCCCCCCATATTCGAATCCGAATTTATCGAACTTTCAAAATATAACACGTTTTTGCCTAAATATTCTTACTGTTGCATTATCTTCGAACGGTTAACAAAATATTATTTTCATATAATATGAAGAAATGAATTCTAAGCAATTTTTTAAATTTAAATAGTAATTTTTGCCACTGTCATAATAATAAAGTTAGTTTTAATTTATTAAGTAACTGAGTAATAGGCAGTTTAACCGTAATGAAGGCAAGTAACCTATAAGAAGAAAAATACTTGGATAAAATATGTAATTTAATTTTGAGAACTGTTAGGAGTTTGTATACCTCGGATTGTATTGGACCTCAACGTCTGTTAACTAATTTAAATTTTTCCAGAACTTTTAAGACCAATAAAGTTATCATTATTATAAATTTATATTTAATATATTATTAATAAAATTAAGCATTTAAATGCTTAATTGTTTCAAAGGCTAAATAATTTTTATGATCTGTTAGGTATTTATCTAAATGAAACAATGATCATAAAATTTTACCATTTTATATATATAAGCTATTTAAAATATGCACATAAACAGTTAAAAAATTTGTGTATTTAAGTTTAATTGCATATTTTTTTATATTATAAAAAAAATACTAATTTACAAGTAATTTTATATTTAATTTTTCTTAATCTATTTACAAATTAAATATCTTTCATAAAATATTATTAGCAAATTAAGTTTAATAAACATGTTCAGTATTACCCTTCTAAAACAAATAATCATTATATATATATATATATATATATATATATATACTATATATATATATATATATATATATATATATATATATATATATATATATATATATATATATATATATATATATATATATATATATATGTATATGTATATATATATATACATATACATATACATATACATATATATATATATATATATATATATATATATATATATATATATATATATATATATATATATATATATATACATATATACATATACTCCTAGCGGATGCATACAGGGACATATATATTTTGTTTCCGTAACATACTTTTCATATAATTTTTCTTTTCTATTTTTAACATATGTTATTTTTTTTATATTTTTATTTTATGTCTATTTTTATTTACACATATTCAAGTTTATTATTTTGTTTTAATAAATTATTTTTTTAAATATTTATATTGTTTTTATTTAGTTAATATATATTTTATTTCATTTTTTTAAATACATATTTACAAAAACAATTATTTACAAAAAACTAACCATATTTAAACCTTGCCCCAACCCTAACCCATAATCTTAACCCTGACCCCAAACCCTCAGTCGATGTAGCAGCACTCAGAGACGAGTCAGGCTATAAGATAGTGGGTCCATGTACTTTTTGCTTTTGCATTAAAGTTGCTTATGGGGACATTTCATTTACAAAAAAATGATGCTTACGGGGACAAAAGATTTAAGAGTACAGAAAATGTCCCCATTAAATCAAATGTCCCCAGTAAATGTCTATTTTTTGTAAAACCAGTAAATGCTATGGTAGTCGTATATATATATATATATATATATATATATATATATATATATATATATATATATATATATATATATATATATATATGTTTGTATATATATACACACATGTGTGTATATAATATATACACACAAACCACATATACATATATATATAAATATATATATATATATATATATATATATATATATATATATATATATATATATATATATATATATATATATATATATATATATATATATACAGACACATTTGTACATATATACATTCTTTATTTATATAGTATATATTTAAAGTTCACAAATTATTGGTTCATTAATGCTTCTAATGAAGAATCAACAACAAAATTATCTGCAGTGTATCTTTGAATGTAAAAGCTTATTCTAATATACTGTGTGTTGTGAGAATATTGAAATTGAATTGGAGTGTTATCAGTTAGTACAATCTCTGCGCTACCATTATATGCGAGGTGCTTGTTTTTGTTTGTTTCCCCATTAACTTTGTGAAAAATCCTTTTTACCAAAAAATTTGTTCCATCAAATCGTGAAGGGTCAAATATTTTTTTTGCTGCATCTTTTGATGTTATCTTCATCTGCAGTTTTTTTTTTTTGCTACTGTCTGCCTGTACCATGATGCAAGAACAACCATAAGCTTTCATCAGACTTATTATATTTTTCATTATTCCCCATGGAATAAACAACGAAGCTGTAGGAGCTAAACCTGTCGTCTTTCCTCTTGCCAGTTTACGAAGAAATATCTTACCAATTTCTTTAAGGTAGCCATCTACCAGTGGACCAGCCAATAACATGTGGTAACCTATATGTCTCTCGACATTAGCATACATTTCGTCTCCACCAAAAGATTTTTCAGTATTAACCCCATCAATTATTTCTTTAGCCCACCTGGGTTCGCATGTTCCTACCCGTAGTTCTTCTTCAACCCAAAAGTTATTTCCTCTCTCTATAGACATTTGTTTATTCGTATGTTTAATTTAAATAAGAATGCCAAACTTGTTTGTTAAACTGTTTTCGTTACATCCGCATCCGTAAATCTCGTTAACCAAAGCAAGTGGGAGAAAATCAATCAAAAAATATCGCCGTGATATATATATATATATATATATATATATATATATATAATATATATATATATATATATATATATATATATATATATATATATATATATATATATATATATATATATATATATATATATATATATAGGGGAAAGCGCGGCAACATGGCGAACGTTTTGAAAACCCTGAGTTATTGCAAAACTATTAGTTGTGAAGCAATAATACTTTCTCAGTATGTTTATGTTATTAAAATCTTTCATTGCCTGCATGAATTTTCAGTTTGCAAATATAACAATTTGAAATAAATATTAAAATAAAAAGTTTATAAATTTGTCATCTGATCACGTGACCGGGGCAAGATGACTTATTATGCTATTTTTACCTCCAATTTTATTAAATTTTAAAAACTACCAATAACTCTAAATAAAGTAACAAAAAATAAATACAAATTGCAAAAACTACTTCTAAAGAAGTTAAACTTGAAGGACACCATCCATTATGAGAAACCGAAAGTGAGGAATTTTTTTTAAGCGCAAAAAGTATATTTATGCGTATAAAATTGCGTTAATAATATTTCAAAAAACCATATATATATATATAATATATATATATATATATATATATATATATATATATATATATATATATATATATATATATATATATATATATATATATATATATATATATATATATATATATATATATATTTGTATGTATTTGTGTGTACATATCAGATATACGTACTTCCGCATTATTTTAATTGCTTTGACTTTTAGACAACATAAAAATGTAGCTTACTTTAGTGTTGCGAAAGTAAAATTTTGAAAATTTACCGCCTGGTAAATTTTAAATTTTTTTTTAATTTATTTTATTTATTAATTTTTTTTAAATTTTTTAAAGGAAAATTTACCCTCCTCTATTTAAAATTTACCGGTAAATTTTACCAGTAAATTTTGAATCAAATTTTACTGGAAAATTTACATCACTAACTTACTTGTTGAGGTTGCGTAATTGTTGTTAAAAGAGACTTTTTTTTACCATAAAAGTCGATGATGGTGGGAAATGAGCTAGAGATTAGCGAGCGACTAACTAGCTTTATAGCAATTTTCAAGCGATTTTTTTTTCTTCTTTTTTTTTTTCTGATGCCTTTAACATCTTTAAAAATTCGATTTTTAGTGTTGAGCCTATTATAATTATGATAACAATTGAACTTTAAGCATTGCGATTTTGTAGCAATGATTCGCTAGTTACATAGGGGTTATCCATTAATTACGTCATTAAAATAGGGGGATTGGGGGTCTAAATTTCTTTGACGATTGTTGACAAGGGGGAAGGGAAAGGTCAATTAAAGTTGATGTCAATAAATTATTTTTTTTTAGTTACATTGCTCTAATAACGTAGCTTAGCTTCTTTGTATAGGAGGAAGGAGGTAGTCAAAAATTAACGTAATTTTATAGGGGGGCTCTCTAGAAATTTAACAAATTGTTGACAAGGGGGAGTTAAAAATTTCAAAAAATTTGTTAACGTAATTAATGGACACCCCCATATCGTAGCTTTGTAGCTAGCTACAAAATATCTACAAATTTGCAGCTGATTGATAGTTATATACCAAAATTTTTCAGACAGCGATTTTATTACGATATGACGCTAGCTACAATAGCCAGTGGGTCTTTACTTTATAATGCTAGCTGTTCTTGTAGTCAAATCGCTTTTTTCATCCTTGCAAATAGCAATAGCTTTTTCTCTAGCCGATTTCCCACCGGGAAAGATATATATATATATATATATATATATATATATATATATAAAATTAGTTTTTGCTTGAAACAACTCCAACTAGTGTAGTTTTATTTACTAATGGTTCAAATTAGTATTTTTTATATCTTATACAAATTAGTAATATCTCAAATTAGGATTAATACCTTGTGGTTCTAGAAAAAAATCACCCGGGAAAAAATCACCCCCGGAAAAAATCCCCCCGAGAAAAATCCCCCCAAAAAAAGAAATTTTTTTTTACATAAAAATTATCAATATGCAGTTATGTTTATTTCTTTATTTATTTTAAATATTTATATAAAATACTTCATTTTTCATCAAAATGTCAAGTTATGCGCTATTTCTCGAAGGTAACCCTAACCCTGACGAACTGCAAACTGGTAAAATGTGAACTTTTTTGCGAACCATCGTAGTTAATTTAGCGGTATATTTTAAGTGAAACTAAATGAAAACAATATGAATATATATATATATATATATATATATATATATATATATATATATATATATATATATATATATATATATATATATATTTAATTATTTGATAGACTGCCTGCCCAACCCAAACCCTCAGTCGATGTAGCAGCACTCCGTTGCGAGTCAGGCTATAAGATAGTCGATGTAGCAATACTCCGCGCATGTTTTATAGTTGAAAAAAATAAAAATTTTATTTTAAATAAAGCTTTAAAATAGAATATTAGGAATTGGAGAGTTTTTTTATTATTATTATTATTTTTTACCGACAACCGAGAAATAGCGCATAACCTTACATTCTGATGAAAAATGAAGTATTTTATAAAACTATTTAAGATAAATAAATATAACTATTTTATTGATAATTTTTATGTAAAAAAAATTTTCTTTTTTTTTTTTTTTTGGGGGGGGGGGGGGGGTATTTCCCGTGGGGATTTTTTCTCGGGGGAATTTTTTCCTGCTACCGCTTTTCAAATAATAGAAATAAATATTTTAAACTTATTTGAGAGTTTATTTTTAATGTAAAATACATTTTAATATTTTTTATTCTTTACAAAAAAAAAAAAAAAATAATTCAAAATAAATAAATTTTTATAACTTTGGATTTAAAAATTTTATTTTTTATTATCAATTATTTATTTTCAGCCGGATAATTGGTCATTTGTATTTATTAAGGTACTCACAGAGATCCTCACTCTTTCACACGCAGAGATACACCGCGGAAAAACTTCCTATAAAAAAAGTTTTTTTTATAGGAAGTTCACACCTCTTACCAATGTCGTTTGTTAGACTGGAAATGTTTAAAGTTGTACACATTTTTTTGCAAAGTATAAATCCTTATTTATTAACTCGAGAGCATTAAGTTGATAAAATATTCTTTTTGCTATTCTCAACTAAAGTTAGATTCATCGAGAAATTTTAAATTTTATTCAGTAAACTTTTAACATTATGACCATACAAAATTTGTAACTTTTTATGGCTTTTACTGATCATTTTAGTGTTTTTGTTTACTTACTTTTAACTTTTAAAAAATGTTTTCAACTTATCTAAAATGTTTTTATTTAGTTTTGTTTGAGTATTTTAGATTCTATATTAGATTATATTAAAATTAATCTATTTTTAATTAAAGTGTGAACAGAGTTACAAAAGAGTTTAATTACTGATTTTTTTATTGCTAAATTATTTAATTTATTTACAAATTTTATAACAAATTAATTGTTTTATTGACAAATTATTTGCTCTTTTCTGAAATTAAATGTTAACAAATTTAATTTATTTGCTATTGCAGAAAAAAAAAAAGTAAAAACAAAAAGCATAAAATAAGATAGCAAAATTAAAAAAAAAAGTATGCAAAACTTATACAATACTTATAAATTTTGCAATGCAATGTTATTTCATTTATAAACTAAAAAACTTTATTTCTAAATTTAAAAAGTTTTCACTCATTCTACAAATTAAAAAACTAGTTTTCGTTCATTTTGTTAAAACATTTGTTTTTAATGTTAAGAAAAAATTGTTTTGAACTCAAATAACATACCTACATAAAAAAACAAAAAATAGGACAAACCAATACATACAATGTCTCTACATTTTATAAGAAAAATGTTTAAATAATTAGATCAATTTTATTTTAGCTTATTATAAGTAAGTCATTTGAAAAACAATTATTAAAGTTATTTGATGAACATTTGAAGAATTTATAAAGCAAGACAGATAAATGGTATTTTAAATAGGAGAATGACTAAGTCTTTTAATAAATATTAAAAAAAAGATTTTTTTAGGTGATATACCTTGTTTGCTATTCCTTTATTTTTATTGTTATTATTGTTGTGGGTGTATAGCCTGTCTTATTTATTTTTAAATATTCCTCTATTAATTTTTATTTTTGTCAAAATATGCTTTGTCTAATAAATAATTCTCCTTTATTCTAATGTACTTCATTTCTTCCCTTAGGCGTTCACTGCTCGTGTGTGATCATTTGGCGAATTTTATATGCCAAAGTTTTTAAACCTACGGGCCTAGCCCGTAAGGGTTAGTGTTACGGTTATCGAGCACGACTATTTTCCTAATCGCAATTACTGTCACCGCGAAAAAGGATGTTTGTCTGTGGAAGCATACCTTGTTTGCTATTTTATCCCTTTACAAAAACCAAAGGTTTTTGAGCAGTGGTAAAATAGCAAACAAGGTAGTTTTAAGTCTTGAATTTCTAGCAAAAACCACACTTTTTTTTACTTTCATGCTACCTGGGAGGTAGCTTGGAGAATCTATAAAACTAAAGATTATTTATTTAAAAAACTAAATTAAATTATAAGAACAATTTTCATATTACTAATCTCTGTTAAATTCTTCATTAAAATTAACTATAAAAAAAAACTTGGGAAACTTTTTTGATTTTTATGGGGATCTACTACCTTAAGAACTTTAAGGCAATACTAATAAAATCATATGTTAAACAAAAGAATGAAAACTCTCCTTTAATGAATATCACCTAAAAACACATTTTTCAGTGTTTAAAACAAGAAAAAGAGTAATTTAAAAAAAAAAAATACACTAAGCAGTTGGTTTTTTTTCTCCAAAAAGAACAAGAACCAAAAAACGACACCTCTCTCTCTCTCTCTCTCTCTCTCTATATATATATATATATATATATATATATATATATATATATATATATATATATATATATATATATATATATGTATATGTATATATATATATATATATATATATATATATATATATATATATATATATATATATATATATATATATATATATATATATACATGCATATACATATATACATGCAAATTTGAGTATAAACTCAAAACTATACTAATAACCAGTTTATTTGTTCTTGTAATCTAACTCTGGTCAATAAGAAAACTTGTTGTTGTTTAAAAATTATATATTATTTTCACATCTTTTAAAATGATGTAAAAAAAAAAAAAATTATTCAGACATTTCTATACTTTTGAATTCGTTATACAGCTTTTTGTTTAAATACATAACCAACCAAATATTACACCAAACTGCTTCAACTATATTTTCCGGTTGCTCAATACTAAAAAAGCTATTAATCCAATAACTAAAATGCCTCCTTTTACAATCTGCTATCTGTTTAGATGAAATCTAAATCTTGTACAGATTTTCATAATTAAAAACGTTTGTCTATAACATTTTTTTTAAACACATTAGGCTTTCCTAAAACGAACTGGTTCCACTAAATTGTAAACCAAAGTTGTATTGCAGTAAAAAGGTTAACTCTGCTTTATGATGTTATATATTGGTTGTTGTAATATAATATGGTCATCCAAAAATGCTTTTATGACAAAAGTAATCACATATATATAAAAAAAAGATTTATAAATATCCCTTTCTTTGCAACTGAAAATTGTATTAAATTATATGCTCACAGCAGCAAAATTTCTTAAAAAATAATATTTATACAACAAAGCTACATTTTTACATAAAATTGTTTGACATTTAAAACACCTAACAAAAAGGATAAAAAAATGTTTCAGCAAGAGAGACAGTGTATGTTACAATGGTAATTAATATTGAATTAATTTAAATCATTGTACCAAACTGCAAAAAAAACCACGAGGTTGCAACTTTATATAATATTGCAGCATGATTTTCGATTTAATTCATTATTTAAAACATTGATTCGTCTTACAATTTCAGCAAATACTTCATTAACATTGAATTTTGTTTTAGCTGAAGTTTCAAAAAACGGGGCATGCCATTTTTCAGCAAGAGTTTCCCCTTCTTCTGGAGTCACTTCTCGTTCATCATATATATCTCGCTTGTTGCCTACTAATATTATTGGCACATTTGTCTGACCTTTTAAGCGAACTATTTGATCTCTCATTGGCTGTAAATCTTGTAGAGTTTGGTGGTTTGTTATTGAATATACTAAAAGAAAACCTTGTCCATTCTTTATATATAAATCTCTCATTGAGGCAAATTGTTCTGTTCCAGCGGTATCAAGAATTTCTAATATAGAAGGACAACTATCAACATCAATTTCTTTTCTGTAAAAGTCTTCTATTGTGGGATCATATTTTTCTAAAAACTGATTTGAAACAAACTGAACAGTCAAAGCGCTCTTTCCAACACCCCCTGAACCCAAAACAACAACCTTGTATTCTTTCATTTAGATTGTATAATGCTTTGGAATCATTGACTTCATAACATACTGCTAACAAATATATATTAAAGAAAAAATAATTAAAATATCCCTGTATATACACAAAAATTATACGATATATCAAAATAAAGAATTTTAATAGGTAAAACTACATTTAAACATTTTTTTATAAAAGTTTCATTTTTTGTTAAACATTTGTAATGCATTACTAAAAACAAATATATTAATAAAATACATTCTTTTGCTAGAGAAATTTATTAATTACTATTATATATATTTTTAAAATGTATCAGTTTTATAATAAAATAAGATAAAACTGTAGAAAAATGTATTCTTATAATAATGTAATGTAATAATAATAAAAATGTATTCTTATAATAAGTTTCAATATTCCAATAAATAAAATAATTTTTCATATATATAATACCAAATGATACATTGTAATTTTATATTTATAGATGAGTATTTTATTATATAATAGTTTATACTAAATTTGTTTAAATAAAATTAATTTAAATCAAGTGTATTAAGAAAGTTTAAACTATTGTCTATCTTATGATTAAAAAGAAAAAAAAGACAAAAAAAAGACTTTAAAGTCTACGACTTGAAAATGTTAAACTCTTTCTTGAAAATTAATGAATACCATATTTTCTATCATAATAAATATCATATTTTCTATAATTATTATGAAATTATTTATTTCCTCAAATATTTTTTTACCATAGGCTCGTAAAGTTGGTAATAAATTAAAAATCACTTATTAAATAAGTCTTATAACAATTTACTCTGCTAGTATTTAAAAAATTTAACAATTCTAACGATAGAAATTTTTAAATATAATCATGTTCAAAACTAATTTTAAAACTTAGTTTCAACACTAAGAATTTATATTAATTTGTTTATAAGCATTGTATTAATTTTTTTAAATAATCCTATTTGTTTTCAATGTTAGCCATAGTATCTCCAATCTCGGATCTCAAACTAAATGTTGCTGCAATAAAAAATTCAAATATTTTTTTTTTCAGTTGATTCAATAATCAATTTTAAATACATATATTGCATTAAAATTACATTAAAAAATTCAAGTAAAAATTAGCATTAGTAAGCACAACACCCACTCTCGATCATTTAACTATACTTAATGAAATCAAAGTAGAGATCTGGTAAAAACACCGCATTAATTACTCATCTTGGTCATGTAATTTTACACGGAAAACAAAGACCAAAAGATAGAATCGTTGAGTAATTTTGAGTTGATGCAAATTTACGTAAAAAGCCTATCCTTAAAAGTATTTACCTGTCTAAAAATTTATTGAGTTGAGTATATTGAGTTGATGTAAACTTACGTAAAAAATTTAACCATTAACGTATTTAAATGACTAAATTTGATTTTTAGGCAAAGTGTGAAACTACTATTTTTAGTTAAAATTATTCTGCTTTCATGAATAATATAAAGGAAAAAAAATTAATCACATTTTTTAATGCTTCATTCAAATTATATCAATTTTTCTTTTATATAATAGTTTTTTAATAAGTGCAGTATTATATTATTAAAAAAGAAAATAGTAAATTCGAAAAAAAATATTTTTTGAACAAAGAAAAGAAGAGATACCTTTCTATAACTTGTATTTTAATAATAAAAAAAAAGTTAAAAAACGGCTGTAAGTTACAAAGTTTGAACTTATAGCTTTTATAATTTTTTGAGATGGTAATGACTAATAAATACATGCATACATACATATATATATATATATATATATATATATATATATATATATATATATATATATATATATATATATATATATATATATATATATTTATATATATATATATATATATATATATATATATATATATATACATATACATATATTTATATATAGTATATATATATATATATATATATATATATATATATATATATATATATATATATATATATATATATATATATATATATATATATATATATATATATATACACATATATATATATTTATATATAGTATATATATATATATATGTATATATATATATATATATATATATATATATATATATATATATATATATATATATACAGCCCTCGGAATTGTCGATCTAGAAGTGTTTGAGGTCGGCAAAAAATTGCCAACCTTATTTCTATGTTTTATGGTAAAACCTTGGTATCAAATTTTTATTGCCAACCTGATGTCTACCTATAACAGATTAAGGTCAGCAAAATATTGCTGACCTCATTTTTCCTAATTCCAATGGCTGTATATATATATTTGTATATATATTTGTGTATATATATATATATATATATATATATATATATATATATATATATATATATATATATATATATATATATATATGTATATATATATATATATATATATATATATATATATATATATATATTTATATATTTGTTTTAATTATTATTTATTGTTTGTATAGATATTAAAAATAATTGTATATTTTTTTTTAGAAACTAAATTTTGGTTGAAAAATATTTTTTAACAAACATTCACTGGAATATAACATAAAGAAATTTTTCTAAAAATACAAATATCAATGTTCACGTTAAAAGTCTTAGTAAAATATAATGGCTCATAGCAGAGCAACGGTTTGTTTTTAAAAAATAGTTTCTGCTTATTTTTTTTTTTTGATTGATGAAAAAGTATAATTGTTGAATGTTAACTATAACTAGTTTATTTATTTTTAATAAAAGCAGTTTTGCTTAGAGGATACCTGGGAGTATATAATTACATATGTCATGTCATACTATTTATTTTAATTTTATTAAATTTAAGTATATTTTGAGTAATATAATTAACAATTTTCAATTCATTTTACAAACTTATTGTTATTGCAAAAGTTTGTTAATTACAGTTAATAATGCCATTGCTTTATTAACTGTAATTAACAAACCTTTTTTATAGGTGTGTATGTATGTGTGTGGGGTGGGGGGAGTGGGTAACATGTAGTAGTTTTTAGTGTAATTTATTGGTATGACAGAGCGTTTTGGGATTATTTGAATAAATTTGTTGGAATAATTTATTGAAAGTTAATATTTCTCTGCATAATTGGATATTTACTACATTCCTAGTGCTTTTTGTTTGGTTATGGTCCCATTTTTTTGATGCTCCACTCTTTTTGCTTTGATTAATTTTCTAGTTTTATTTATATAAAATGTTCTTCATGTATATTTGTATATGTTGATAAACTTCTAAGTAAAAATTAAAAGTACTTTTGATTTTAAATTTAAATGAAGAAATGGTGTAATCTCTTTATATTTTAAATCATTTATTTTTTATTTATGTTAATTCACATCCTACAGTCAAGGAGGCTACTTTTAGTTGTGGTTACAACCCTCTCTTAATCCTATAACTCTGAAGCACAAATCTTGATAAACAAGGCTACTCTGCGGAGAAACAAGTTGAGCATAGTGCTACCAGGGACATGGTGGGGATCAAACTTGGGTGAATTATTGCAAATGTATGTGCTGAGGACAAGCATGTTACTATTCAGGGTGTTAACCAGGAATAAATTTGATACAGCGTTTTGACAGTATTTGGTAATTTGTCAAAATATTTTCCAGCCATCTGCCCCTCCGCTCCCCTGAAATTAAAATGTGTTCTGGGAATGCATGGGGTTCTTTCTTATATTCTTTCTACTTCTACACAGCTTCAGCGCTGTATACATTGACTGGACACCAAAAATCAAACAAAATACTGTCTGTAACATTTATTGAACACGAATATGAAATCAACGCAAAATTAAAAGTGGTTTCGCAGCGACACATCAAATTAAGCTCCGATTTCCAAAGTTATATTAAGAATTATATATTTTTATAATATAAAATAATCAGTGTTTCATAATCATTATTAATAATCATTAAACACTGATTATTTTGTTTGATTTTTGGTGTCCAGTCAATTTATACAGAGATTGTATATGTCAATGTATACAGCAATAAGATTACAAATAAACCAAATATATTATTTCTAACAATAATTAATTATAATTAATTATTGTTAGAAATAATATATTTGATTTATTTGTAATCTTAATACACCGTTGCAGCTTTCATTTTAAGAGTATTCTTTTAAATATATATTTCTGTTTTACTGGTGGGAATTAAAGGGCGAGTAATATAGCAATTTATGTTCAATGAAAATCTCCACGGAGGAGAGCCAATGATTTTCTACTTCTAATTATTTAAATTCTGCTTGACGTCCTTTATGGACGAACCCTTACACCATCATGTAATAAATTGCTTCATCAAAAAAAAATTTTCAAAAATAGAATAATAAATAAAGTTTTGAAAATAGTAAACACGAGCTCGTAAATTTCATATTTCACATTTATTGCGAGTATTTTTATAATTAATAATAATTTTATATATAAATAAATCACATAGCGAAATAAAGTTACAAATACAAAGTCTGAAGAAAAACAACAACAAATGTTGTTTAATTACAAAAGAATATTGATCGCAATTGATTGCATGCTATCGTGACAATGAAGAATACCAATAATTATTTTAAATACCAATAATTATTTTTACATTCATAGTCATAAAATGTTAATTTCATTCAAATATTTAAAATTGTTTTTACATTTTAAATTCAATCAAGCAGTGAATTTAGTTTTCTTGTTTTTTAAATTTTTAGTACCAGTTTGTTGTAATAAAAAAACCATTCTTGTTATTAAACGTATTTAATTTACGCTTTAAAAAAGCAAGCAGTAAAGTATATATCAAAATTTTGAAAAGTATCTGACGTAGGCGACTTCTCAATATTTTTGTTGAGTAAGCACATGTACTACTTTAAGTAAAGTTTGCAGTAAGACAATAATCTTCTTGCTTCCGCTTTCAAAAAGATCAGACGTGTTTATTAACGTAAGAATAAATTTATATATATATATATATTTTTTTTTATTTTTTTTTTAAATTTAACATTAATCTATAAAAAAAAAAAATTTTATTAATAAAATTTCAACAACAACAAAAAACACTGGGAACTCTAGTCCTTGCGTAAACTGCGAAAACTATCATAATTTAACATTACAAACAATAGTTTGAAAAACATTAACAAAAGTTTTATCGTATAAAACGATATGTTGAAACAAGGAAAACTTAGCTGTTCAGAATTATCTGATATAGTACGAGAACAGCAAGAAACCATAAAAAATTTAATAAAAAGAATAGAATTCCTTGAATCTAAACAACCAACAGTAAACGAATCTGCTAATTTTTGGTCGAAATTTTCAACGAAAACTACATCCACGGAAAAATCACTTGTTGTAAACACCATCGCAAATTCAATAATATCAGAACAGGAAAATAAAAAAAAGCGAGAAAACAATATTATAATCTTTGGAATTCCCGAATCGAGTAAAACAGATGAATCAGATACAATAAATGATGATAAATTAATGGTCAATGAAATATTTGATTACATTGGCAAAAGCAATGAAAAACCGATTAAATTAATTAGGCTAAAAAAAAAAAAAGTTTCAAAAAATCCATCTCCAATTATTGCTGTACTTCCTGAAAACTGTGAACGCAATAAAGTTCTATTCGCGTCTAGGGAATTAAGAAATAACGACAACTATAAAAATGTTTATTTAAACCCGGATATGACACCAGCAGAAAGGCTAATAGATTTTGAATTAAGAAAAGAAAAAAAGAATAAAAACCACCAGCTTTTAGAAAATGAACCAAACTCGCCCTTTCGATGGTGCATCAGGCGCAACAAAATTGTTAAACTCAACTTTAGCAAACACATTAAATAATATTAAACAAATAAATAAATGGTTATCCTTCAAATCTGATAAAAATAACAAGCTCACACAAATCAAATCACTAAAATTAATTTATACCAACATTGATTCGATTTTAAACAAACGCCAAGAACTAAATTTCATTGTTCAAAAACTTAAACCACATCTCATTTGTCTTACTGAAACTTTGCCTAAAAATTGCCGATCAATGTGCGGTGATCAAGAAATTACTATAGAAAACTACATAACACTATCAAATCACAATAATAAATCATGTCAAAGAGGTGTAGCAATATTTGTACATATATCGTTAAAATCGTCATTGGTTACCTTTGATACCATTGCATCAGAATCAATTAGTTGTGAAATTCAAACAAAAAATTCTAAACTACTAATAACAACATTCTACAGATCTCCAAATAGCAATGACGAAAATGATAACTATATAAATCAACACATAACTAATCTTTCTGAAAAATACGAAAACATCCTTATTGTTGGAGACTTACGAAATATACGAGACTATACGAAAACATCCTTACGAGACATCCTTACGAGTTACGAGTTACGAGTTACGAGTTACATCCATACGAAAACATCCTTACGAGTTACGAGACTATACGAAAACATCCTTATTGTTTGAGACTACCCAGATATAACTTGGTCTAACAAAAAAGGAAACCCGATATCTCACTCATCAAAATCTTTAAAATTCATAAATTCAATCCGCAATTGTTTCCTCACACAACATATATCTAAACCAACCCACTTCAGAAAAAATCAAAAACCAACTACTATCGATCTTATAATAACATCCGTGGAAAACATAATTTCACCAATAACCCACCTTGCTCCAATTGGAAAAAGTCATCATCACCTTTTATACTTTACCGTACTAACCGATCCAATAGATAAACCAACTCATACTATTAATAAGCAATTATTCTCTAAAGGAAACTATAATAAAATTAATAAAGATCTATCAACCTTAGTGTTAAATCAAAACTATAATTCAGAACAACTTTGGGATACATTCTACACAAACCTTAAAAACACTATTAAAAAAAATGTTCCAAAATCCTCAACAAAACCTAAAAAGCGTTCACAATGGATAACCGCCCAAGTAGCAGAAGAAATAAGAAATAAACAAATTAAATATCAAGACTACATTCATAAACGGAATGGTAAAACTTACTTTGACTATTGTCGAGCGCGTAACAGAACTAAAGCAGCTTGCAGAAATGCTATAATAAATTTTGAAAAAGAAATTGCTAAAAACATCAACAAAAATCTAAAGCTTTTTTTTAAAAAAATCTAAAGCTTTTTTTTCATACATAAAATCAAAAAATCTTATAAAAAATCTCATTCCTGAAATAGTCCACAATAAGATAGTTGCTACCACCGATCTTGAAAAGGCTCAATGCTTCAATAATTACTTTGCTAGTAATTTTTCTGATAATGATACATTGATTGTTCCAAGTTTTAACTTATCTTCTATTTGTCCCAGTCAAATCTCTAATAATCTTGATCTATCTCCTGAAAACATTGCATCTCATCTTCTGTCTATAAAGTCATTTAAATCACCGGGTCCAGATGAGATACATCGCAAAATATTAAAAGAAACCCATCACCAAATCTCTAAACATCTTTCTATTATTTATACTAAGGTACTTCAAACTAGTACATTACCACAAATCTGGAAAGATGCAAATATCATTCCAATTTTCAAAAAAGGAGACAAGAAACTAGTTACCAACTATAGACCCATTAGTTTAACATGCACTATAGTCAAAATATTTGAAAAAATAATACAAAAACATATTTTTATTCATCTTTTAA